TTTGGCAACATAAAATCAGGAGAGTTGCGCTACTGTATGTGATATTGGTCTGCGTGTATTTATTGCATAGTGCATATTACATATATGATTATATGCGTGTCCAACATTATTGTTTACCAAAAGTATTGAAAAAAAGAAACAAAAATGCGATTATGTTATTTATGTAAGAGGAAAAGTACACAGGATAAAAAGATTATTTTACATAAGTATGTTTGCTGATAAATAAGTAATGAGAGTACGTGTTCGATTGCTCACAATAATTAATTAAAACTAAAAATTATTCTTTTTAGATTTCCGAAGATACCAAAATTACGGCAAAAATGGATCGAAGCTTGCGGATTACATGAAATGCAGAATAAATATATATCCCATATTTTTATTTGCTCATGTCACTTTGAGTTACCTCGGGATTTAATTCCATTGAGGAAACTACCTTTTGATGCTGTACCCACTATCGAAATACCTGTACCAAATCGTCCAGTTGTATCTAACATAATGGAATGTGATAACTCAGTTCAGCCAATATCGGTAACTTCCATTCCACATCATTCATGTAAGTTATATATAAATTATATAGAAATAAAGATATGTATGCTGATTGTAAGAGTTACTAAATAACATGTCATTTTTGTAATAAATGTTTTATATTTTTAGATTCCAAAGAGAATTTTTCTTCTACAAAAAAACGCATGTATGCAGAACCTAGATATATTTCAGAAATTAATATTGGAGATGTAAGTAGTCCAAAAAAGGCGAAAAGGATAATCGATTTTGTTAAACAAGTAGATAAAAATAAATGCAAACAAATAAAGTATTTACAAGATCATAACAGAAAACTTTTAAAGCGAATTGCTACTTTGGAAAGATTAGTATCTCATTTGAAAGAATCAAAATTGATTTCTGAAGATGGTGGAGATAATTAATGGTATGATACATAACAGATTAATAATGATAATATGAGCACGGTTGTCACTTCTTCGGCTAACGGAACATTTGATTACGTTTTTTTTATAGAACGTATTACAATACAATAACAATTTTAAAAGTAGCAATCGATCTCTAGAAAGATAATGGGATCTCCGGCATATAAAGTGGTGTACGTGAGATATATATTGTACATATTATGTATATACTGTGTACATTATTAAATTAAATGCCTTTGTAGTTCCTTATCAAAGGCATTTAACAGTATATTAAAACACGGAAGTAATCCACAAGCATCGTAACTCATTTAATAAAAATATCCGTGAAAAAAGCAAGGTTCCAGTGCCTGGACACATACCTATTCGGATATTGGAATGTTTACCTTACACAAACTTTATTATTATTTACCTCAAATGTTTTTCTTATTACAATATTATAATTTAATTGTATTTAAAGATTACAATAAAATTATAATATTATATTTAAAAAAGCATTTGAGATTAATAATAATATAATATAAACAAATAGGATTTTATGTAAATGTTCAGACATTGATCACTGGAATGTATACCTTATATGAGACATTTTTTCATGGACATAATATTATAAAAACTTATATTTTTAATGACAAAAAACGTAGTGTAAGGCCGATATTAGAATACGCGTTGAAGAATGAGATTGAAGATTGAAAGATTGAAGTTTAACTAATCAAAACAAAAGGAACCAATATTTCTTTCTCTTCATTGGTAAAATTTCAATCTTTAATCTTCAATCTCAATCTTCAATGCATAGTCTGACTTTACACTACGTTTCTTGTCATTAGAAATATTTTGTAAAGATTTTTTCTTTTATATATTGAAACGAAGCAATATGTTCATATTTTCTGATCATTGATAGAGTATTAAACTATTTAAAAATATTTTGCATATTATATATTTAATGATTATTGATTAATAATACCAGGTGTACAAGTATGAAGTGCAGATTTGAGACAACAGATGATGCACCAATGCAGTGTGTAGTATAAAGATTTGACGTATATGCCATTTTGTTGTGCCATCAACAAGTGTCAAACGCGCATAAGTGATAAATTGAAAAAGTGTTTGCATAGTATTGTTTTGCTGTGTTCAATATGTCGAAATTTGTGCCAAGTAAAGAGCATTCGCGGACAACATTAATTTTTTGTTTTCATTTGAAGAAAACTGCTGCTGAATCATATCGATTACTTCGAGAAGCTTATGGTGAACATGCTCCATCGCAAGATACGTGTGAACGATGGTTTCGGCGTTTCAAAAGTGGTGATTTCGATGTTACAGACAAGGAACATGGAAAACCGTCAAAAAGGTATGAAGATGTAGAATTGTAAGCATTGTTGGACGAAGACGATTCACAAACACAAAAACAACTCGCAGAACAATTGAACGTTAGTCAACAAGCTGTTTCCAATCGCTTACGAGAGATGGGAAAGATTCAGAAGGTCGGCAGATGGATACCACATGAGTTGAACGAGAGGTAGATGAAGAGGCGCAAAAACACATGTGAAATTTTGCTCGAACGATACAAAAGAAAGTCGTTTTTGCATCGTATCGTTACTGGGGATGAAAAATGGATATATTTTGAGAAAGCGCAAAAAATCATGAGTAGACCCAGGCGCACCATCCACATTGACCGCAAGACTGAATCGCTTTGGCAGGAAGACGATGCTCTGTGTTTGGTGGGACCAGAAGGATGTGATTTATTATGAGCTGTTAAAGCCTGGTGAAACGGTTAATACCAAACGCTACCAACAACAATTGATCGATTTGAACCGTTCTCTACTCGAAAAACGACCAGAATATCGAAAAAGGCAACACAAGATTATTTTCCTCCATGACAATGCTCCATCACATACGGCAAAACCGGTTCGCGACACGTTGGAAGCACTCAGCTGGGAAGTGCTAGCCCATGCGGCTCACCAGACTTGGCTCCTTCTGATTACCACTTGTTTGCATCAATGGGGTCACGCACTTGCTGATCAGCGCTTTGGTTCGTACGAAGATGTGAAAAAATGGCTCGATGAATGGTTCGCGGCGAAAGGGGAAGATTTTTACTGACGTGATATCCACAAATTACCCAAAAGATGGGAAAAATGTGTAACTAGCAATGAAGCATACTTTGAATAAACCACTTTTTATCATTCTTCCGGATTTAACGTTTTTTTTTTTTTTTTTTGAAAAAATCCGCATTTCATACTTGTACACCTGGTAATGTATGATTACGCAAGACTACAAAAAATTCGTGTCAAGAGAAAATAATATATTTTCATTTATGGGGGAATTCAGCGTATCAAACATTTTTTGTGATCCTGTGTTATTTTTAGGTATATGTAATTAATGAATGTTATAATGCAAATCAATCATGTGAAAGATGTTTTTTACATGAAATTGAAAAGGGTGATAAAATAAATATTATAAGGATGTATGCATTTATTTTTCGTTCTATTTAGAGCACGTTACCAGAAACAGTGATGGCGATAATATAAAAAAAATTGGAAGAAGGTGGTGTTTATTCTCGTAGTTTTGCATTAACATTGCACTTTTATTCGCCTAAAGCATACAATTATGTACGAGAATTGTAGAATAAATTGTTATCAAATCCTTCCACTATACGAAATTGGTATCGCGTAGTTGATGGAGCTCCAGGTTTCACAATGGAAGCGTTAGATGCCATTGTGCAATAATAATAATTCTAAACCTCTTATTATTAACTTAGTTATAGATGAAATGTCAATAAAGGAAGAGATGATTTATAATAAAAAAAGATTTTGCGACTGTATTGAGTATGGTATTGTAGAAAATGATAATGATTCTGTTCTTGCTGCTAATCACATTTTAGTATTCATGGCAATATCTCTGAATTATAATTGGAAGGTCCCAATTGGATATTTTTTTAAAAAATCGTTGAACGGTTCAGAACGCGCGAATCTGTTAACACTTGCATTTGAATAATTGTATAAAATAAAGTTTTTTCTATAACTTTTGATGAAAATTAACTATATGAGCCCATTCAAGTGTTTCACCATTGGATGTTCTTAAAATTTTTTTGTCACCTAAAATATTATACTTCTCACTAATTTTATCATATGACATAAATCATAACACCATATGTAGACAATATAGTTCAATACATAGCAGAATATATTTGTAATAAACTATATAAGATTATAAATTGTGATATTTGTAAAAACCAGTCATTAGGTGAAAAAATGCCTTTGTTAGAGAACTAAAAAATAGAGGACCATATTTAAAACCATCTGATGATGTTTATAAGATTTGTATAATATCAGAATCAACTATCCGACAGTACACAAACGATAAGAAAGTTGATAAGGAAGAATATTAAATAATTTTTAATGAATACTGTATTTCGTAGATTATCGTCTCCATTTTCTAACAATACCATGCAAGACCATATATTTTCTGAAGAAATCGGTAATCGGTAATCATAAATCACAACTGTGTAAACATATAATATCACTATACATTGACATAAGATTATTTCATGAAGCTAAAAACATGTGTAGCAAAGATGATTATATTCGCCAAAATACATTAAACTAATTTTATTCCGTCATCAGTAGCAATAAATAGAATTGTGTAAAACACTTCATTTAGAGGAAGTGTTTTCAGGACACAGAATGTTCTTTGAACGTATAAAAAGGAAGATACAACAGCAATTTTTCATTTAAATGTATTTTTCGAAGTAATATATTAAAATTAATACTACGTAAAATTAGTCATAGGTTTAAGAATAGGGTTTAAAAATAAGTTTATGAATGTTAGATGTAAAATAGTTATAAGATAGGTTTAATTTTTCACGAGTTTATGTAATGGTGCTACAAATGGTTTATGTAATTTAGTACTACAATTGGTCACTGCGCGCTCAGTAGTACTGAATGCACTCAATTAATTTAACAGCGTTGCTTGATGCAAATATTATATTTTAGAGTAGATTTTGAAAAATAGGAACACTAATGTACCTTGAAACTCCCTATGTCAAACTTCGCTTGGTCACCGCAATTGTGTTTGATTAGTCTTTTTTAGAACGTACTGACTACTCATAAAACAAATTCTATTATATTTGAGCGTCTATTATATATTTATAAATAATAATTATATAAATTTATATATCTATTTATATAACACTATACATATATATATACTTAAATATGTTACGTTTATGTATATACTCTACACATATATATGTTATGTTTATAAGATAATAAATCTATGTTCAAATCATGAAAATGCTTATATTTCTTTCCATTCATATACACTACGCAAAAAAATTAAAGGATCACCTAGTTCATAAAAATAGGTAAAAATTCAGAAGAGTGTAACAAAAACGGCCATAACGAGATTTTTAAAAAAGCATTTTAAAGTTTGAAATCTCTACTTTCGAAATCGGTAATTGATATTTCGATCTAATTGATTTTTTACGTAGCTATACGGACAGAAATGGGTATCCGTCAAATCTGAAAATTTTGTACAAATTTTACAAAGGTCTATGGCGTGAATTAAAAATCGCACCAAATGCGGTTTTTAGCAGTCGAAAGAGTGAATCTTTATCTTCAATTTGCTTTTTTAAAGAATTCGTCTGCTCTAGGACTCTTTGGTTACATTTACACCGTGCGCTCAGTCCGCGACTATACGATAAGTGTCTTTGTTTAACGTATAGGATAAATAAGGACATCTATTGTATAGGCTGCGGCCTAAATGCATGGTGTAAACGTAGCCTTTGTGCGCATGCGTAAAATGACATAGCAGTCCAATGATGATCGTTTGATCCAATGATGGAACAGACAGAGCAATACGGAATACGGGTGCTTTTGGAGCTCATCTTAGTGACCAACCGTCCCAAATTAGGAGGGACAATCTCAAATTTTAACACTTTGTTCCGCTTTACAACGCGTTTCAAATTATAATATAAATTAGGGCTCGCTATTATACGTTTAAACGAAAATACGTTTACACGTATAATTAGTATATCCGTTTATTAGAAATGTTTTTCCGAATATATGTGTAATTAACTATTATACGTTTAAACGAAAACACGTTTACACGTATAATTAACATATCCGTTTATTAGAATCGTTTTTCTGAATATTTTCACTTTTTTTATATAAACGTTTACCCCTTTAATTAAGAAGTATGACGAATTAAGAAAATGCAAAAAATTCGATTTTTAATTTTATTAAAAAACGTTAAAATATTCGAAAAGATTTTTTCATAGATGGATATGTTAAATATACATGTAAATGTATTTTCGTTTAAATGTATAATAAAACACTAATAATAATAATAATAAGCTCGGGAGGCAGTCGCCAGTTGGAGCTCGCCAACGACACGCAGACTAGGTCCATTGTGTCTTCCCGGCCGTACTATCTCCAGATCAGATCAGACCTGTCTTCCTCCAGAAACGGAGTAGGTCCCTGACCTGGAGTTGACATACCTGCTCGGGCTCGAGAAATACCGAGCCTTTGTCCTGCATACGCTGGGCATTCACATAACACGTGGAGAGAGGTTTCTTCCTCGTGTTCGCACTTCCTGCACTTCGGGTTATCACTGTGTCCCAGCTTGTGCATGTGGTAGTTAGTGAAGCCATGGCCCGTGTAGATCTGCACCGCCAGCCTGGCTTCCCCTCTCCTCAAGGCCCTAATGCTCCTGGCAAGGTCCCTGCTGGGCATCTCTCCCAGCAGGGCTCTCGCCTGCCTGCATTTGGTTCTTGTCTCTTCCTTCCAGTAGTTGATATGACGGTCCTGTAACCAGCCCTTAATTTTTGCCCTGCAAATGCAGCTGGGCAAACCCAGAGCCGATTCCGGTCCAATCAGCCTGGCTGATGAGCCACTTCTTGCCAGCTCATCAGCAATCTCATTACCTTTGATTCCCGAGTGTCCCGGAACCCATACAAGAGCAACACCGTTCCCCGTGGACAGCCTGTTCAGAGCACATTTGCACTCCCAGACCAGCCACGAGTCAAAGACGCATGCCCCTAGCGCCCCCAGAGCCGCCCTGCTATCGGAGCATATCCTGATGCGTCTGCCCGTCTCACCTGATGCGGTTAGCGTTTGAGCACAGCCCATGATTGCTATCACCTCCGATTGGAATACAGTGGTGAACTCTCCAAGAGGGAGAGCCTTCCTGACTCCACTACGGCATCCGTAGATCCCGGCACCGGCGCCCTCATCAGTCTTGGAGCCATCCGTACCAGACGTCCCCATTCCTGATAGCGGGCACCTCATGCCTCTCCCAGTCCTCGCGCTAGGAATATAGATCTTGTACGATCTGTCGAAGTCGCGCCTTATTGGCATTCTATCCTGCCTCATGTCAAACACGGTTTCCATTTGGAGCTCACGCGGTAACTGGATGTGAGTCACACCGCTCATCCATTTTCCCTCGCACTTCAGCCTATACGCCGTGACCGCTGCTGCCGCCACTATCGCGAGATGGAGTGGTTCTATGCCGAGCAGCACTCCCATTGCCGCCACTGGCGTTGTCCTTATTGCATCCAGAGCCCTCTTTAAGAAGAGAGCCCTGACGCGTTCCAGTGATACGCGGGCCTCGGTTTGCTGTGTCCTTGGCCACCAGACCACCGCAGCGTAGAGCAACCTTGGTTGGAGCACCGCAGAGTATAGCCAAATCACTCTGTCTGGCTGCAATCCCCAAGTTTGCCCAAAGGTTCTTCTGCACATCCAGAAGTATGTGCTGGCTTTCTTACACACTGATTCCAGATGCAGCTTCCAGTTCAATCTTTTATCCAGGACAATTCCCAGATACTTGACCGACATTCCAGGAGTCAGTCTGACTCCCTTCAATACGGGCCCCTTCACTGGCCCTATCTTGTACTTGTGTATAAAGATCACCAGACTTGTCTTACTTGGGTTCACCGATAGAGCTGTCCTCTCACACCATTCCTCCACCATCCCTAGAGCTCTTCTTCTTTGCTTCTACCACAGAACCTCTATACTCCTTCTGAGTCTTCCTGTAAAGATCCCAGTCGGAGGGCCGGCCCGTGTTCCTCGCCTTGTTCCAGGCTCTTTGAGCCTTGACCCTGAGACTCTGCAACCGTGGATTCCACCAGGGGGTTCCCCTGTTGTTGATGATTGTCCTGGCCGGACAGTTCGCCTCATAGGAGCCAACCAGAGCCCTTTGCAGATAATCCACGCAGAGCTCCAACTCCCCCGCCGTCCCGTGCTTTCTGGGAAAATCCTTGAGGTCCCTCTGATAGGAGTCCCAGTCTGTCCTCTTTGGGTTCCTTATCTTCTTGACTTTCATTTGGAGACCTGAAAGTCTGAAAGATATTAGCCTGTGGTCGGAGAGCGATGGCTCATCCGACACCTTCCATTCCCTCACTTTCCGCACAGACCCACGTGAACAGAGAGGGAGGTCTAATACCTCACTTCTCCCGGCCGCACAGAAGGTGGGTTCGTTACCTTTATTCAGAACCTCCAGGTCAGTCGTTACCAAATACTCCAGCAACTTCCTTCCCCTTTCGTTCGTATCGGTACTTTCCCATATGGTGTGGTGTGCATTAGCATCGCACCCAATCACCAGTAGCAGTCCTTCCTTCTGACAGAGATCCACCAACTTAACTAGCTCCTTCGGCGGTGTCTCCTCTCCATGCGGGAAGTAGGCCGAGCAGATGACCAGCCTCCTGGTGCCTCCAGCACCGCCAGCTGTCTTCACCTCCACCGCCGTCAGGTCCCTAGAACATACCCCGGGCAAGAGACGTGCATCCAGCCCCTTGACCGTTATGCACGCCCTTGGTCCCTGTTCGGTGGGAGCTTTAAAGAGCTTTCCACATGCTGCCACCTCCTGACACACCCACGGGCGACCCATGGTTCCTGTATCAGGGAAATGGCTGTGTGCCTCACAGACTGGCGCCTGGCTAGAACCGCCGAGGCCCCTTTGCTGTGATGCAGGTTAATTTGGGTAACCTCGATCACCGACCAGTCCATTGTTTGGTCTAGTCTTTAGATCGAGGCTCCTCCTTATCCCCCTCCCCACTATGAGATCGAGCCACCTTTACGGTGACTTGCTCGATCCCATAACATAGCTTGGAGTCCCGCTCCCTTAACTTACGAACGCTGGATTCCAAGATGCCGAAAACGTAGTTCCTCCCCTCAGGGGAAGCACCTACGTTTTCGGCAAAGATGCGCCAGTTCAGTGCGCCGATGCCCGGATTCTGCCTCTCCAGCAGCGTCAGGACAGCAGCCGCGGCTCTCGGAGGACCCGGAATCCAGACCACCGCCCTGTGCTGCCTCTGAAGCTCGTCCAAGCCCACCACCCTGAGCCTGGCGCCCTCCCAAGGCACGCTGCCTCCCACCCAGCCTTCCAGCCAGCTAAGGAACGCTGCGTCCTCACTTCTAATTATGACTGCCCCGTTCTTAAGGGTAGCCGGTTCTACGAATCTGGGCAGGGGACCCTCTTGGATCCCCTCCATCTCCGCTCCAGGACCGCCCCCCGAAACAAGATCAACTGCTCCGGAGTGATCCCCTTCTCAAAATACCCCTCCAGAACAACCGCCCTTGCCAACGGATTAGCCATGGTCGCGAAGGTCCCAGTTGCCTGAGCCCTAGGCCTCTTCACCGTCCTCTTAACCGATGGGGGGGTTTGGTCAGAGCTCACGCGGCGCTTTTTACCGGTGAGCCTTGTATCCCCCTCCGGTTTAGTAAGGGCCATCGAGGGACACGGAGTCTGCCCTTCGAGAGCCTTCTCCTGTCCCTCTTCGCCCTTCTCTTCTGAGCTCCGCTGCGGTTCCTCTTGTGAGGAGCCCCTGCATCACCCGCCTTGCTCCCATTTCTTTCCGAAACGGGAGCCATCTCCATTTCCGCAGCTATCACCTCGCTTTCCGAGCCCTCGCGAGCCCGTACTTGCGGCGCAGTTGCTGCCGCCTCCGCCGAGTGCCCTTTCGAGCTCTCGGTTATCTCGTCTTGAATGATATTAATTTTCTCCATGCAAGTCCCATGAGTAGCTAGGGAACGACAAGGTCCGCCCACGCAGAGCCCCGCATGCGTGGGTAAGGCTAAATACTCTGGGGTTTCGCCCAATGCCCCAGAGGCATCGACCACTGCACTGCTCCCCCAGTACCATGCAGCCCTCACCTCGATAGCTCACAGCTTGGCTTGGGGGGCTGGTCCACGGTGACGGTTTTCCCGGCCCCACGCAGGATTTTACACCTGGGGAGTCCGTTTATAACCGCCACTATCCGGAGGGACCTCCAGTCACACGCGGGGTTTCACACCCGGGAGACCGGGCACCTCTCCGGACGTTCTCCTATCCGCCACCTAGAGACGCGCCCGATGGGTAGCCCAACTCGACGGGATAAAACACGTATATTCGGAAAAATGTTTCTTTTATAAACGGATATGCTAATTAAACGTGTAAACGCTTACCTTCAAGTAAACGTTTTTTTGAAAGCGAATATAAATGGATAAACGTTTACACGTATCTTCGATAAACGAAATAAAATTAAAGCCCTAATATAAATTAAAATGTAATACAATTTGTATTTATACATGCGTATAGTTACATATAGATATGTTTTATTTTATGATATTGTATATTAATACGTTATTATATACATATATTTTATTTTTATTGTATTATATTATTATATCATTCATTGTATTAATTCGATATGCGTAATTATGTTTTTTATTACGTATAATTTTTTTGTGAGAATACTGGTAAGGTTTTTTGCAGTTTCCTTTAGGGTGCTGTTCCATGGGAACGGAAAACGGAATCGGAACACGGAATCGGAAAGGTGAAGTAGTAGGGGCAACCGGGGGGATCCCGTTTGCCTACAAATCGATTGCCTACAGCACCTTTTGCCTACATCCCATTTGCCTACAAATCGATTGCCTACATGTTCTATTGCCTACAGATCGATTGCCTAAATGTATTATTGCCTACAGTTCGATTGCCTACATGTACTATTGCCTACATGTACTTTTGCCTACATGCATTATTGCCTACAGCTCGATTGCCTACAAGCACTTTTGCGCACAAATAAAAATTTTAGAAACAGAATTACTTTTGCCTACATGCATTATTGCCTACAGCTCGATTGCCTACATGTACTATTGCCTACAGCTCGATTGCCTACATGTACTATTGCCTACATGCATTATTGCCTACAGCTCGATTGCCTACATGTAAGTGTGATTTAATGCACTGTTTTCATGGGTTAAGAATATTCCAAGCGGACACTGTCTCAGCTATAACTTCCACGCAGTTAGGCCCCAAGCGGGTAGGATGTTATTTT